ACAGACCTTTAAAGTGTTTCTTTCTTTGTACATACATGTTCACGAGAGTTTCAAAAACTATTTATAAAAATATGGTATTTAAAATGGGTTTTAGGGCGCGGAAATTTATCCATCAATCTAACAAAAACTACGTTTCTTTCAACTTGTCTCATAAAAATTGCAACGATCCTCTGGCCTGTTGGTAAATAAGTATTACAATGATGCTTTACCCACTATATGTGACACTTTGTGCTTCAATAAAGTCTCAAACCTAACCTAGCAGTCAAAGAGGCAATATTTTTGCAATGGATTCATCGCCTTTTGTAATAAATTAGTTTAATTGAGTTGTGTTATATGCTTTGTTGTTTAGATTCATTAATTTCAATACTATCCCAGTATTTGATTTATTTTGTTATACTTTAACCAAATAAAATAAGTTCCAAGTTATATCGAAGTTATAAAATCCATTGTGCATCCATAGAATGATTTCTAGCTACATAGATAAATTCAATTAGAGATTCTAATGTATACGAATGAGATACTGCAGTTTTGTATACATTTCAGTGTACCTTAACTAATTAATCTGAATAAACAACAAAGACTAGTGTGGTTTATTATTATTTCTGTTCACCATCAGCTGTGGCAGGACCAAGGACGGGTCCTGCGAGGGCCGGCCCCAGGACCCCATTTCCCCAGGATCGACGCATAACGTATTGTTGCAATCCTTAATAACGGCGTGCGTTGTAATTAACTCGGCCGGAATAATTAATTCCGGCGCCATTATATGCAAAATGAAGTAAACACAATGGTCGCCTGATCGATTTTATTGGTTTATCGTCGACAATGTTGAGGGGCGGGGTGGGAACAGAACCCGGGACCTGGGTCGCCCCCGCCGCGCCGCGTTGTGCGGTCGGGAATGTGCATGAGTTTACCACCTTGATTTGAACAGTTTGATACATTCATCACTATTTGCTTTGTTAACCACTAGTGGAAATAAAATTAGCACGGTTATTACGGAGGAAACATCTATTTTTGCATCGCGTATAGCTTAAGAAGGATTTCAAAATCATGTAGTTTAAAACTAGTTGTGAATGGTGGGATTTGAACTCAGGGCCTCCAGGGCAGACGTGTGTTCTAAATAGAAGATTCACGTCCTTTGACGTATGAATAACTACACCTTAGTAGTTATCATTATTTATTTTTTAGTTCTAACAGACACTGAATATTTAGGTTAACATTTTCCCGACGATAGTTTAGTTAAACCATTTCGGTACGTGGTACGAACGCTATTTTTCACCACACTATACCCTATTACCACTATTTACCACTATAATATTGCAAACTGATAGTCAACACAACTTCAACATTAAGGTTATGAAGAAATAATTTGAGGAATCAGCAAAAATAAAAATAAATAGTTGCTAAGCAACGGTGACAATAACACAATTCTATTGCAATGCTATAGATTTTGATTGTGTATTTAAAATGCATTCATGTTTTAAGTAAGTAAGCGGACAGCTGATTTTGCGGCCCCGGGATGTAAAAACCTGCTCGGTCACCAAATTATGATGACAGCTGGCATGGCCAGCAAAACGTAACTTTCAGCCACCAATTAACGTATGTAATACAGCCAAAAACATCATAGGGTGGTGAAAAATTAGTTTCCCTTTAGATGAATTGATTCGTCATATCATTATTTTAATTTAAAGAACAGTTTATTTTTAAGTTCGTTTCTTGTGCCTCGCATTTTGTATTAGTCATATAGAAAATTATAGTCTTAAGGGTAGATAGCTAGTGTAATATAAGGTGTCATTATTGCTATGGATGAATTAAATATCATTATTACTAAGAATTAATTATTGAGAAAATCTAAATGCTCTATGCAGTGGTAAATAGGTCAGCTTTCAACTCAAACTGGAAACATCATTTGTATAGCATTTGAGTTTAAGCTTATCTCAATACAATTGCCACAGATTACATAGAGTAGTGGTAGGGATTCGAATTCAATAAACTCAGTTAGGTAAACTCAATTAACTATCAAAACTATCATAACCTAAATAATTTAAATAAATAATTGTTTATTTAAACGCGAACTCTAAAAATCGCTTGAGCGTAACGATAAAATATTCAATTTCCAAACACGTTCCAAACACAGGGAAATAACTGAAATGTCAACGGATCATTAGTGGTCACGTGTGTGAGGTGAACGCTGATTGGTTCTAATGTAATCACGTGATCAACAATTAAACAGCTGGAGGGGGAACAATCGTTGTAACCAACCGTAACAAATATATTCACATACGAGTCGTACGTATAAAACGATGTGATCGCATTGAAATAATAGTGGAAAGAGTAATTTGTAATTGTGGAATCCTATTGGTAAGTTAAGTTACAACCTGTAGTTTAAAATATGTCTGAAATCGTATTCCTTTTATTAATCAAATTAAATTATTGACTTTATACCTAGTATAAATCAATTTAAAAACACTTTAATTCTAAAGCTGAACGTCGTTTGGTAGTCGTTTGGTGGCTTATGAGAACCCTCAAGAAATTATGAAAATATACCCACGAACTACTATGTCTTAGATATCTAATCAGATAATTAGAACGTGGAATATAGACTTATAGTATCAATTATACAATATTTTATTTTAATTGATTTTGACGCCCATAGCCAATTTGTAGAAGAACTACAGCATTTTTAGTTAAAGCATTTACAAGCTGTACTCGCAATACAAATTAATAAGGACCGATTTTTTTTACAAAAACCAATAGCAATGACTGCTTACAAAAATAGCAATGAATTGAGAGACAAAGGTGTTAAAAGTACAAAAAACCTTTAATTTTACAATGGTAAAAAAGTTTAAACAATATAAAACTAGGTGTGGAACATAAGAGTCAAGAATTTAAATATTATTTAGACGATTGAATCATTTAGATATCGATATTATCACCATACTGACCGAACAAACTACACTATACGAAGCATAATTAGTTAAAGCCACTCCCAAAGTTTTACCAGATTAAGAAACGCTTTCCATCGTTATACCTATAATTTATCCACTGCATTATTTCAGTGTTTAAAAACGCATTTAAACTGTGAAGGTGGGCGCAGCGCGGAGAAGACAGGACCAAGCAAGTGGCACTGATGAAGAGGATGCTATAATTCATCTAGAAAATCAAACCACTTAAAGAGATTGGCTCCCTTCCACACAGGCACCAGTGTTGTCCTATATACACAGGCTATAAATAGGTCACATGTAGTATATATGGGCCATGGTAGATGGGTCGTATTTATTATGTATGAGAAATAGGTAGTTATTAGGCGTTATAGAGTATAAACAGGCTACATCAAATGGCATAGGTAGCTTTATTTGCGATACACACGGAATATGAATAGGCAATATTAAATATTAATTAAATAAAGTGAGGCAAGACCTACAATTAATCTGTTAAATATTGGTTTTACGAGTGTCTAATTTCGATGCACAAAATATATACAAAACACAATAAAAAAAATTCTGTAGTCTCCTTGGTTACAACATAACACTATAAATTAAATCCAAGTCGTCAGAAAAAATCTCTGTACTTCGTCAACATTAATATCATGTGCGATAGGTCTAAGAGGAAAAGGAGTAGTTACGCAGAAGATATCCTGGTTGCAGTTAGAGTAAGAAGTAAGAAGGGGGCTACGATATGTGATATCAGCAAGTTCCTCACGGAATTGGGGCGAAATGTAGCTCCTAAAACGATTGCTAAGAGTTTGAAATTAGCTGAGTACCGGGGATTGGTCAAGCTGGGCAGGAAGAGGTATTATCCTCTGGGTGGCAAAAAGAGTCCTCAAATCGAGCATTCGTCTCGTAGAAGAAGTCCAAGAAAGGAAGGAAAAGGCAAAGAGGGGAAACCAAAGTGTCCTTGCTCGAGTAAGGCGAGAATAGCTACAACTGATAGAAGAAGAAAGACCAAAACGAACAAGAAAAAAAAGTATAGCTGCAACACCTAAACGACGAAGAACCCGCAGACACACGAGACAAAGATGTGTTAAAGTAGACGAAGCTGAATTAGTGGAGGCTAGAAGACGCAAAAGATCTTCTGGAAGAAGAGGACACAAAAGATCTCCTGGAAAAATAGGACGCAGACTCGCAGACAAAGCGCGTACTAGAAGAGCACCTCTTGTAGAAAATATCTTGAACGTGCCAATTAAAGTTGAAAAAGACCAATCTTCAGTTCAGAGAGAGAAACTTCTGAACACATTAGGGAAGTTTGACAATGCTATTTTGAAACGCTCCATCAAAGTTGAGAAATATCTTTCAGATGATCATAAAACAGGTGAAAGTCATTATCACATTGCAAACTTACGCCAAGTCACTGAAAACCAAGACGTGAATAGTGAATATGAATCAGCTATGGAATACCAGGTAGTTGACAACCATGAATCTGGTGGCCCAATGGTGAAAGAAGAGAACTCTTCTGACGGGAGTGAATATTTCTTGGCGCAGGAAGACCCTGATCAGAATAGTAATCAAATCTTTTGTTGTGATACTTAAAAACGTTTACAGCATTGTTAGCTGGGAATGAGTTTTCAGAAATAAATTTACATTGTTACTATTCAATTTAGTCTCCATGTAGTGTAATATAAAAACGAATGAAGCGTATGTTTTACTATAACCCGAGTTACGCCAATATACGTAACACATGTTGCAGTCATAAAATTACTAAAACCAATCAAAATGTTTAGTTATTACAAACCATTCAGAGTAAAATATTAACCATGCAGTTTTCGATTACGTTTAAAGTGAGGAGTGTTTAAGCACATAATCGAAAATTATCAATTTCATCTTTTAGGTTTCATTCGATTTTAGGTAAAAAAAATAACACTTATAATTGATTACGGTAATATTAAGGCTAGGTTTTAACCGAAGTGAATCTTTAATATGAACTCTGTGAAAACTACTTTTCCTTGACTACTAAAGAGTTATTTTCAAACCAGAAACATTGATTGGCAATTTGTCTGTTCTCAGGTATCGTGAGGAGGCCCTGTGCTGGTCGGACAGGTGAGTTGCAACAATTGCATTGTAAACTTGCATCTTGTCTGTAAGATTGCAGATTGCATTGGAGATCCAGAGATAGCATGCTAATAGAGTCAGTTGTGTAGCCACTAGCCACTAGCCACTGGCTTGGCGCGTGTAGGCTGAGCCTAATAGAATGATTACCGTCTCGTTCACTTCCCAGACGACAACTGATTAACGAATTAATCTTGACGATGACGTCATTGTGGTGTATCTCTCCGAGGTGTATTTGAAGAAGTTTGTTGAGTTTGTGCGGAGTGTATTTTACTGTTTTGAGGAAGGTAAAAAGGTTCGCGGTATTAAGTAAACCACCAATTAATTGGTAGATAGAATATGGAATTTTAGATTTTGTTAACCTTTTACAGGCATTACTTATATTTATAACCATAACAGTTTGTATATCTAGGAGCTATTTGGTAACTGTATTATTTTTAATCATTGTAGTGGGGTCTGTGATGATTCAATGGAGTTAAAACTGCGTTGCTGAACATTGGTAACAATAATTGGCTTCACTACACTAAACTAACTAAAAATGGTATATTTGATATACATTTTAAAACTTTGTTTACCTTTTTAAAGGAGTAAATCCACACAGCCAACTACCTAAAATATTAACAAATTTTGCTTATTAAAGTGAAAAGATGTATACAGTGTTTCAATCAATGATAGTTTATCATATCGCTAAAATCAGTTGTACCCTTAAGAAAAGTAACAGAATCGGACTTAACTTCGTTAATATTTTTTTGAGACCACAGGGTTGACTTGGGCTGACCACACGGCTAAACAGTAGGAACCATCTCAAAACCTATATTGTTGAACAAATGACCACAATCAACTTCAAAATATAATCCAATATGAACAGGTAATAACCAAGAGTTAAATCGCACAAAAACACACCTTTCAAACTCAAGTGATGCAGCCGCAAAGGGCTGAATAAAAACCAAATACCAATTAAGTGAAACCTACAGCGCATCGCCAACAAAAATAGCGGAATGCACGATTGTAAGAAAACCTCCGCACTCGGCGTGGAAATAGCGAACGCAAGATGGATTTATTATTTGTAGTTGGTGGCGGGGGCTAATTTATGCGGAGGCCAGATAAGGCGGAGGCTCGGACAATGGAGAGAAGACAAAAACCGGCGGCGCTGTCAGTCACCATCACCGACTCTAATGAGCTTGGTAATTGTGACGGTGCTTGGTACCGACTGCAGACTGTAGAGGGCTGTAGCAGGTCACCATCCCCTGCTAGCGATGCTGTCAGTCACCACCACCGACTCTAATGAGCTTGGTAATTGTGACGGTGCTTGGTACCGACTGCAGACTGTAGAGGGCTGTAGCAGGTCACCATCCCCTGCTAGTGGCGCTGTCAGTCACCATCACCGGCTCTAATGAGCTTGGTAATTGTGACGGTGCTTGGTACCGACTGCAGACTGTAGAGGGCTGCAGCAGGTCACCATCCCCTGCTAGTGGTGCTGTCAGTCACCATCCCCTCCTAGCGATGCTGTCAGTCACCATCACCGACTCTAATTAACTTGGTAATTGTGACGGTGCTTGGTACCGACAGTAGACTATAGAGGGCTGTAGCGGGTCACCATCCCCTGCTAGTGGTGCTGTTAGTCACCATCAAAAACTCTAATTAGCTTGGTAATTGTGACGGTGATTGGTACCGACTGTAGACTGTAGAGGGATGTAGCAGGTCACCATTCCATGCTACCGATGAGTACAGTCGACCCTTTATAATTGAACAATTGTACTTTTTATAGATTTTTGTAGATTTTGCTTTACCACTTGACTTAAAACACTTGAATTTCAAATACGGCCACTGTTTCACTTAAATAATTCTTTTTAATCTGTGTATGCAGATGCCAGGGGCATTTCTTGTGTTTCGTAGGGAAACGCGCCATAGGAATTTAGCGTCAACGTTTTCATACAGTATCAATTATCAATTATTTAAGAGGGAACCAGAGTTTTGCCAACGGGTGTCAGGTAGATGGGGGGGATGCCTTCGGCCACCTCTTGGTGCGGAGATTTGCCAACGGTGGTGGTGGGAGAAAGAGTGTGACGGAGGGAGGGAGAGCGATTGTCAGGGTTGTCTACGCTTGGCAGTTATGCGCTTGTCGCAGTGGGTTAGGTTAGGTTAGGTTAGGTTAGGTTAGGTTAGGTTAGGTTAGGTTAGGTTAGGTTAGGTTAGGTTAGGTTAGGTTAGGTTAGGTTAGGTTAGGTTAAAAATTCAATACATTACCTTTCACGGTCAGAGGTGCATAACTCCATTACTTTGAATACAGTCAGCATCCTGCCTGGTTTGTCCACCCCTAGCGGAAGCCACTCTCACGGTCACGTGTAATCACTCTCGTTCAACCCACAACCGTTGGCAAAACTCCGCAGTATGTGGAATTCATGGATGGGGACCCTTTCTACCTGATACCCGTTGGCAAAACTCCTACACTCATTTAAGATGGGGACACCACTATGTGCGTATTTTAACCCAAATATGAGTGAAGGATGAGTGTAGGATGAGTGGCGCGATCTTGTAGTCTTGTTAGTGACTAAGGCCGACATGTTCCTTAGACACAGCTGTTAATTAATAGCCCATACAGCTAATGGCAACTAAGGGACCTTCAGTTTAAAGTGGAATCCGAACCACATTTTTTACTTGTAATTTACGAAAATACCCGTCAATACAAGTACCGTCAATAAATAGACTAGATAAAAATGGCTGGATCCTACTCAAGATCATATTAAATGACTCGGTGGTATTATAAGGTGAACATGCAGGCTATTCAAGAAAGCTCTTGTAGATTTGCACATCTCAAGCCACACACGCCTGATGGATTTCTGCAAGTCTAGTTGCGATGGCAGTTAAACTGAAGTATACGTGGAACAAAAGGATGAGCAGATCTACCTTGGCACATTTGACCAGCCTGGAGGCCGTCGGGTCAGTCTACAGTCACTGTATAAGGAGACTTGTGGCCGAGTAATCTTAATTAGAGATCCGTAACAGGAGGCTCACATTCTACAGCTGCATTACTTGACGAACATTACGCTTGCAGATATCGATTGTTGATCGCTTCCAGATACTGGAGATCTTTATTGCCTCTGCGACGTTCTACATGCTGATGAGTGCTGAGGAAAAGGCGGTAATGACTGTAGTGTTCTTGCTCAGCACAGTTCTCGAGTGTTGATCAAATAAATTGTTGAACTATTCATCAATTCTACATCTACAGCTAAAGTCATTTTAGAGAGTTTTGTCTTTATCCAAGAATTCACTTTAGCCATGTAGGAACATCATCAAAGACACCAACGTTCAATTAGTTGGGATGACGCTGTTCTTGGCAAATGAAACCACTTAGTATTATTTTCTTAGGAGAGAAACTTTAATCAATGTTGCAGTTTTATAACTCCATCCAAGAGCATTCCAAGTTAAAGACGCCCGTTAATAAGTAAGTCTACGTTAATATGTAGGTGGGTTACCTTTTACTCTATTGCATTGTGAATTATGTAAATCTTTGACCTGCACCTAAATCATTTGCAGCATACAATGAATTTAACCTTTAGGGATATTCTTGAGTGTTTTCACTCCACGAAACCCAAGAGAGTGTTAAATAGAACGGGGAACTTGTTAGCATTGAATAAGAGAATGGAGTTTTTATAAAACTAAGCTCTGACCTCGTTTTTAGGCTCAACAAAAGGAAATGGCATTAGTTTATGCGGTTAAGTTTCATAGGTCCAATTTAATAAATAAAATTTCCAAAAGAACAATAAAATAGACTTCAACATCGGCGATTCCCGATTCCCGATCAACCGGACAAAATCTCCGCCAGTTTCCCTCCAGATTACAAGCCTCCTCAGACTTGGACAGCTGTCCACTAAACCGCGAGAAATAACCAATTGGGATGTAATTTAGCACGTGGTGCCGGACAAAGGTGGTACGTGCCGCAGCAAGAGCGGCGTTCCGTCACGGATTCAACGGTTTCGGCGATGTGGATGTGACAGACAGAATGTTAATGCTCGGCACACGCTGCGACATCACATCACAGTCATTCTGGGCTCAGTGAAAAAACTTCTCATTGATTGAGCGTCCACTTTCTAGACCTGATTCTGCGGAATTTTCGTTCTGCGACGGCACGATTCGGTTGATATCTCGAGGGTACCGACTGGGATTCGTGTACAGTAGTAGAAAAGTGCTGACGGTAAAATGTAAATCTGTTGGTATAGATCTACGTTAAGTAGCAACGCTTTACTGAGACGGGTTCCTGATAGCTTGAACGTAAGCATATGAAAATGGATTTTTGAAGTTTTGAGACTACTAATTCTAAAGCAAGTTTTTTTGACAAGACACATCTCGGCTCGGAAATATATTCATACAAGAAACCAATATCATAATTATACAGAAAGCAATATTACTCCTATGAACAATCATTCTGATTTCAATATTAGCGAATTTCCCTATAGGGAAGTAGCTATTACCGTAGGTGGCACGGTAAGACCTAGACCCGGGACCGATTTAAATTTTCATTTTGATGTCCCCAGAGGCCAAAAACACCATTCGTTCAAATTTTTATATATGTATATATATATATATATATATATAGACTTATATATATATATATATATATATATAGACTTATATATATATATATATATATATACATCCGTGAACGCGATAACTTGAGTAATTTTTGTCCGATTTTGATGAAATTTGGTTTAAAGGTTTAAAGCGGGATAAACTTGAATGAGTTCGCGAACCAGCATGATCGGACCATGGGAACGGGGCTTTACGGGGGGTTTTATGGGGTTAAAATTGGTTTTTCTCACTTTTGACCCTCAAAACACAAAATTTCCCGATTTCTCTTTAGACCTTTTTAAAGAGCTTAAAAAAACAAATAATTTAGTATATAAAAGTATTTTTGTTCGATTATTAGTAACGGAGAAAATTATAGAAATTGTAAATTTAAAATTCCCATGTTATTCTTATGGTGAATATTG